GCACACACACGCACACACATACATGCAAGCACACATGCACACGCACACACACACAGAGACCCAGAGTGAGCTGGAGTTGTCAGCAGCCTGCTTTCCAACAGCACTTTAGGTATGGGCACTCCAAGGAATGTTGCTGTGCTCAGCTGTCACAATATTGCCATGCCAGATCTCGCTCTAGAGGTGCAGCCCCAGAGCCTGTTTCCCTCTGCCCACCAGCTCCTTGCCCTTAAAACTTTCAAGTTTGACTACCAGGCTGAAACAACTCAATGAGGTGCCTCTCTGCCTCTGGCACCCCCAAGACCACTAGACTGAGCACTGGGGTGAGCTTGGCACCCCACCCCAGTCTCCATTCTTCCTTTCCTCATCAAATGCCGGGTTCCTTACCTCAAGTGCTCTGCTGCTGTTTTTCCTGTGCTGCCCCCTCCCACTCCCCAGCAGTACTGATGTCCCTCCCTGGGCCTCCTAGCCCTTTCTTTTTCTCCTGACCCTGGGTTAGCTTGACTTAGTTGCAGCCTTGTAGAGTCCTATCTTCTATCCTTCCTGCTGTAGTCCCAGAAGAAGCAAAGAATGCAATGGCTGAGCTGTTCCCCTGGCCCTGCCCCGCCTCCACTCTGGAATTTGTCAATTAAACTGCTTCCCTTTTTCCTCAGTTTGCATATTCCCCGCTCTAGCTCATCTCCCTGAAACTCAGATCTCCTAATATCTGACTCTTGAGGCCCTCTTCATACTCCACATGGAAGGGGCTTTGCCACTTTTGCACACCCAAGGAAGAAAGCCCCCAAGGGAGCAAATCAGTCCTGAGATGGGAGAGGCCTAGGGACCACGGTGCCAAAAAGCAGGGGGAGCCTTTCAAAAGCTCCCTGAGCCCGTCGACTAGACAAGATGAGCAAAGCTCACCCTCCCGAGCTAAAAAAATTTATGGACAAGAAGTTATCATTGAAATTGAATGGTGGCAGACATGTCCAAGGAATATTGCAAGGATTTGATCCCTTCATGAATCTTGTGATAGATGAATGTGTGGAGATGGCAACTAGTGGGCAACAGAACAACACTGGAATGGTGGTAATCCGAGGAAATAGTATCACCATGTTGGAGGCCTTGGGACAAGTTTAAATAATGACTGCTCAGCAGAAAAATTCATGTCCCTCCTCCAAGTGCTACTTTCACTGACTGAAGATTGGGTCATACACATTTTCATATATTAAATTTTTGTTAAATAAACTTTTGTAATAGACCAAAAAAAAAAAAAAAGCTGGGGGAGAGGCACAGTCTGTCTCCCCAGCCCCGAGGCATAGTTTAAACACTGGCTTCTGAGCAAGTGAAGGGCTCTGACCAGCATTTGTACCAGGCAGTGTGTGTGTGTGTGTGTGTGTGTGTGTGTGTGTGTACCAGTGGGTTGAACCCAGGACCTTCTCACTGAGCTACATCCTCAACCATTTTTTTTTTTTAATTTTATTTATTTGTGTGTGTGTGTGTGTGTGTGTGTGTGTGTGCGTGCATGCACGGCCAGCTCAGCCCACCAGGGGGCAGGGCAGGCTGGCATGTGGTGCTGGGGGATTGAACCGTGGTCCCTGTGATTTGCTAAGCTTGTTCTAAGTAGGTGCTTTAGACCACTGAGCCATCTCACCAGCCCCGTCCTCAACCATTTTTAATTCCTTATTGTGAGACAAGGTCCTGCTACATTGTCCATACTGAGCTAACAATGCTGCTCTTGCCTCACCCTCCCAGAATGCTGGGAGGTGCTAGGTTTGAATACTCTCAAGGTGTTTTGGCATAGAGTGATGTGTCTTCCTCACCTCTACCATGTAAGTAGGAAATACACCTATTTTTCAGATGAGAAAACTGAGACCCAGTAGGTTCAGTCATTGACTGCAGTATGTACAGCTACTAATCAGAAGAGGACCACCACAAATCAGTTTCTTCTAATCCTAAATCTCTGGCTGGTGAGATAGCTCAGCGGACTAAGTGCCTGCTTAGGCAAGCACAGGGGCCAGGGTTCAATCCCTGGCATCACGGTGCACTGAGCCAGCAATGGAGTCTAGGTGTGGTGGTGCATTCCTGTAATCACAGCACTAGGGAGGCTGAAAACAGGAGAATCACTAGGACTCCAACCTGCATAGTGAGACCCTGCACACACACACACACACACACACACACACACACACACACACCCCTAACCCTAAATCTCCCATTCTTTACTACACTGGCATGAACACTGACCTGTGAAGGAATAATTAACCCTCCTAAAGTGAACAGATGACCCACCTCTCTAGAAGTAGAGATTTAGGACTGTCTACTCTTCCATCCTTATATTTTGTGTTTACAGCAAATACTCCTGTTTGTTGTTGTTGTTTGTTTGTTTGTTTTTTAAGACAAGGTTTTGCTCTGTAGCCCAGGCTGGTCTTGAACTCACAGTAGCCTCAGTTCAAGCTGCCTCAGTTTCCAGAGTGTTGGGATTATAGGCATGTGACAACACACCTGGGTCAAATATTCCTCCTTTGCAAGGCCTACTCCCAAAGTTTCAACCATCCCAAAACTCCATGTAGCCCCCTCCTGCTTTGTTTTCATGTACTTATTACATCCAACACCCTAGTGTTTTACTTACTGTCTCTCTACAACATGGACCACCCCCACTAGAATGTATCACAAGGGTAAGAACTCTTGTCTGATTTGTTTGCTATTGTGTCCCTCATCCTGGAGTATTTGGCATATAATAGATGAACAATAAAAATTTATTTATGACATGAAAAAGGAAGCCAAGCTTCTTGTATCTCAGCCCAAAACATGGATCTTCCATGGAGCCTCTCAAGTGCTAATTGGTTTCTGAAGTCCTTTCTTCCCATCTCACCCTCCCTGGAACTTGGACAACAGAAATCATCCTGACTGCACAGGGCCCCATGTTCACCCCAGTGTGAGGGCAGCAGCTGGGGATCAAGGCCTCTTTATTATATGCATGGCTAATGAGGCCTCATTAAAAGCCTCTCATTACACAGCTAATTGCCCGGCTGTGTGGGCAAAGAACATGGGCCAGGACCCAGGGCTGGGAGTGTTTGGTGAGAGGAGGAATGGAAATGGGAGGCGTTTACATGCAAATGGCATGACTGGTTCATTCCTTTGAGAAGCTCAGATGCCATTCCTAGCTGGACTCGCTGTCTCACTCCTCTTCTATCCCTGTCTAGAGACAGAAACCCAAACCAGGCCTGTGGAGGAAGTCTGGTGAACAGGAGGAGGTATTAGTAGAGGACCGAAAGCCTCCTGGGCCCAACTCCATCAACCCCCTCCCCCACCAACCCATCCTTCCCTGCCCCCCACCCCTGGTGCCAGGGAAGCAGGGCTTCAGCAAAGGTCCACCATGAATAATGTCCTTTGATGATCCGGCATCTCACAGAGGATGGTGGGAGCCAAGCCTGGGGGAAGCAGGAGGATGGAGGAGAGAACTGATCACCCCTTGATCTCTGGAATTAGCGAAGACTTGAAAGAGTTGCTGCTAACCTGAATCAGAGAGGTGCAGTGGGAGGGGAGGCATCAGAGAGCTGGAGCAGGCAGTTTTCATTTTGCCCACGAATCATATGTAGATAACATGTAAGTGCCTGCTGTGACTATAGGGTACCTAGATGTCCTTTTTCTTGGAAAAATTTACTAATTTAAGCCACATTTCAGATACTTCCACTGGACAGTGGAGTGCAGAGCTCCAGCTCTTCTGACAGCGCCTCCCTTTTTGTTGTCATCAAGACAAGGAAAAGATATATGGTTGTGCTGAGAGGACACAGGTTAGTCTGCCATGCTCTGGGGGCTGGAGGTGGAAGTAGCCCAGCCAGTGCTTGTGCATAGAGTATGCCCTGCACAGGTCACCATCTGCTCACCCTGTGGATGCGCTGACCATCTCAGAGATGCAGAGAGTGAGACAGGGCCAGGGCCACATGTGACAGCAGAAGGATGGAGACAACCCTCAGAGCAGGAAGGAATGAGGAGAACCCTCAGAAGGGTAGATTGGCTGAGCCAGCAGGATTGGATCGGGGCTGATTTAAGCTTGGAGATGGTAGGATGGCTCCTCATGGGGGTTAGGGGAGTCCAGGCTGGCCTGTACCCCTCAGAGGTTGTATTCTCAGTACAACCTGTACTGAGTGCTGGACAGGTGAGGGGGAAGAGAGCTGGGAGAGGAGTATAGGGAGCAAAACTCTCCTTCCTCTTGTGCTAAGAAGAAGGAGATAGAGAAGAAAAGCAAATAGGAAAGGGAAGGGAAAGGAGAGGCAGGAGGGGCAAGGAAGGAGTCACCCTCCCTCCATGCCAGCATCTATTCCCATGAGTAGGGAAGGAGCCAGCCCAGCCCCCCTCAACCCTTACCCCTACCCAGGGAGCTGACAGAGGCTTCAGCCATGGGAACAGAAAAGCAGCATGGGGAGCAGCAGCTGCATTTTCTCCTGAAATTGCTTCTGAAAATGACCAGACACTTCACTGGGAAAGTGACGACAATTTGGGCCCTGGGAGCAGGAGATGAGGCAGAGAGCGGAGGCAATCCGACTCAGGTCACCCACCCCATCTTTCTGGGCAAGACGGAGCTTCTGGGCCTGATTCTGAGAAGTCAAGGAT